GGCCACTACTGATCACCACTGTCACTACCAATCACCACCACTGCCGCTTGCTGACAACCACTGTCACCAACCACCACCACCCACCTACCACCGACCACCATCACAACCGATCTTCTGCCACTTGCTGGCCATTCGATGTTGGCCATCCTTTGAATTTTATGTTGTATTCATTTTACTTTAAATCAAACAAAAACTAATAATCTCATGAACTTCTTTTACAATCATCCAACTAACTCCAAAGTATTCCATTTACATTAGATTCCTTTTTCAAGCAACCAAATATTCCCAAGGCTTCATATGGGAGAGCATTCTTACTACTTTTTAAAGCTACTTTCTAGCATATAATTAAAAATTTTATACTAACAATTTACTTTAAAAAGCAATAAGAAAGCTAATTTAAATGAAACATAAGGTTTTGTTTGGGACAACTTTTTTACTATTTGTAAAGCAATTTTTTTTAGCATTAAATTTTTTAATTCAAAAAATTTGTATACTAAAAAATTTCTTTAAAAAATAATAAGAAAATTATCTCAAACGAAACCTAAGATGTAAAACATCAATTTTTTATTAAAAATCTTTCTATTCTCATAATGTAAAACATGTTCTTCTTAAATGACAATTTTTATATTGAATATTGAAACATAAATTAGAAGATAATAACTGAACAATAATATTTATATTTTGAATTTTCTTAATTTAATTTGAGATATAGATATAATACCCGTGTTAAACAGCTAATTATTATATTGCATTTAAACCTTTCTTATTTTTTATCAAACACTTTTAGCTCAAGCGGTGTATTTTTTTATTTATAATATAGGCGTGCAACTTCAATGAAATTCCTCATATCCATGAAGATTTAAAATGTATAATTGATCTTATATTTAAATCTTTGAGAAAAATATATTGGTCGTGAGCAAAATTAGAATTTTAATTCAGAGTAAATCCAATTTTAGAAGAAAATTCTATAATATATATCAGGGTGATTTACATACATACCACGAAATATTTATATACTTTTTATATTTATTTATAGTGATTTACATACATATCAGAAAATACTTAAGTATTTACATGTAGGGGTGTCAATATTTGACACGACACGAAAACCCGACCCGGACCCGACCCGGAAAATCCGGGTTGAACCCGACCCGATTTCAAAACGGGTCGGGTTCGGGTTGACCCGGCGGGTTGCCGGGTCAACCCGGGGTCCGGGTTCGGTTTTTCGACCCGTTTGTCTACCCGGGTCGGGTTAGGGTTGACCCGTTTGAACTCGGGTCAGTTCGGGTTCGACCCGAACCCGACCCGTGACCCGAAATTGACACCCCTATTTACATGTATAATTTTTAAAATATTTATATTTACTTGTTACGCAAGAGAAGTTCAAGGGTTGTGCTATAAGTAACCAAGTAGGCTTCACAGCTAAACAACCTAAGAGTTATTACATGAAGATTGGCGAATCATAGGGTTTGTTCAGTATACTTGTTGGGTTCAGGGTAGGGGTGTAAGTGAGCCGAGCCTGCTCGTGAGCCGGCTCGAACTCGACTCACTAACGAGCTCGTGAGCCGAGCTTATCGAGCTTCAAGCTCGAGCTCGAGCCTATAATCGAGCTCGAATGATAAACGAGCTCGAGTTCGAGCTTAATCCGACTCGACTCGAAATCTTATTAAGCTACTCGATTATATATTATATATATTATATTTATAATATTATTTTTTTAGAATATTAAAAGCTTATTACATAATATATTTTTATACGGCTAAAAAAACCTAGCCCGCATCCCGCCTCTTTTCGTAACAATTTTCGCCTCCTCATGCCCTAGCGGTCTGCATCCTGCAACCCCCGTCTCTCTTCTCCCTCGGTTGAAGACTCGAAGCAACACCGTCATCCTCTCATATGAGACGAGATTCGAGACAGAGGCACAGAGCCACGCAAAGACCCCTCTTAGGTCTCATCTGGCCCTCTCTCACGTGACTGCAATGGTGAGCCAACGACAGGTGATTTCTTCCCTTTGGTATTTTCGTTTTTCTTTTACTGGTTTTATTTCCTCCTCTTCTTTCTTTAGTTCATCTCCTTCCTCTTTCTTTCTATGTTGATTTCTCGAATCAGCAAAGTGATGGTTTTGTGTTGATTTCTCAATCTCTATGGATTTTCCTTTTTTTTTTCTTGTAGATTTTCTCAAATCAACGGTGAGCCGACAGCATATGATTTTTCTTCTCTTCTTTTTTAACATAGATTGACGATTTGAGGCTTGAGCTTCTTTGTTCTGGAAACAACAAACTTCATGTCTTCACTTGATGATCATATTCATTCTTATGTTGGTTGTCAACCTACGAATGAGGATAATACACATTGATGACAATGAGATTGACAAAGAGGTCGAGAAGTGGACTAATGAAAATCAAGTAAATGATATTGATGAAGTTGATTATAACTGAAGCTCATTCTGCTTTCTTACAGGTTGTACAGTTCTCTTTGCATCTAAGCTTTATATAGCTCGTTCGGCTTTCTTCATCATTACATATGCTTATTATTTCTTGCTCGTAAGCTTTTTCTGATAATTAAATCTATAGAGTTGCCTATGATGATTAAGTTAAGCTTTTCTTTTTCAAACATTAGCAGTAGCTAGGAATCTATGTTTGGGAGCTCATGCAGTTCACAATTACTTGCTTGTTCATTCCGTAGATTTTTGATGCTATCCATCAAAAACATATGCTTGGATAATTTTGCTTGTTAGGTTTGAGCGGTAAGATTGCTTATGAATTTTGCCTGTGGAATATTTTGTAAGATAATAATTTTTTTTACCCCATTTCTAAAATAATAATTATTTTGCTTTTATCTTAATTTTACAGATTTTTATCATATTAATTGGTAGTAGAGATGGAAGAATTTGAAGAATATGGAACATCCAAATATCAGACAGACAAGAAATATATAGTTCTATCTTCTATTCAATTTTTACTTATGCTCTATTGTGAAACTTCTTAATGAATTGTATGATACCAATTGCTTTTTTTGTAATGATGATATGAAATGCAATTTGGTCAAATTTTTATATTATTGAAAGTTCTATTACTATATTATTCAAGTTTTTATAGTACTTAACCATATAAAAATTGCAGTTGATAAGTTGATATTGGTCAAATTTTTAAATGAAATTTTTTAAAGAAAGATGATTACTCATAATATATTGATTCTTCTACAACTTAAATTTTTTTTAAAAAAAATTAATAGTTAAAGTTCTAGAAATTTTATGATTAGTTAAGTTATTTTTTTATTGTTGAAAATAAATTTTAATTAAGTGTTAGAAGAAAAAGAATTCCAAAAAAAGAGAATTTTGGTTTAAAATTAAAGACTCGTGCCAATTAAAAGAGTTAAGAGTTGAGTTCGAGCTTTTTAAACGAGCTCGATCTCGAGCTCGAGCTTTTCAAACGAGCTCGAGCTTGATATTTTTTAAACGAGTCGATCTCGAGCCCACTAATCGAGCTCGAGCTCATTAAGGATTAAATGAGCCAGTCTTGATAAGGCAAATACTCGACTTGACTCGATTCATTTACACCCCTAGTTCAGGGTGCGCTTCCTATTTTGAATTTCGCCGCTGCTTGTAATTTTTTAGAAAAATCATAAGAATCATCCCCTTGGCAGCCCTACAATTCCTTGCAAATAAAATAAAACATAATGCATATAATATGCATGGAAGGATATTAAGTTTTAGCTATCATAAAGAAAAATATATAAATATAAAATGTTTATATGAGCAATGAATCATTTCTTTTCACATTATCAAATAAGAAACTAAATTAAAAAAAAAAAAATCTATAGAGCTCTGTATGATAAAACTCTCAGTAACTACATTAAAGGAATCCCCGATTTCAACTTGGCAACAAAAGATTTGCAAGGGGAGAAGAAGCCCGAAGGTAGAGTACTAATGAGATTTTTTTTTTTTTTCGATTGGACTAAATCTGAGCAAGAGTCTATCATCAAAAGCAGAACAGATCTCTCACTATCAATTCCTTGCAAAACATCCATGTCCCTCAAGCTTCTTACTAAAGTTGGATATAGAAAATGCCAACATCAATGGCTGCAACAAAATTACTTGGGAAAGTGATATGAAATATTTGAGTTCGCACGTAACCCTAAGGTAATACTTGAGTTCGCAAGCAAACCTATCCCAAATTGGTGAACAAACAGCAACAAAACTGCTGTTTTCAGTAGGAAAGCAGCCCGAAACAGTGGAAAACAACAAAGAAACTGAGTAGAAATCTGAAGAAAATCAAGTCAATCACTTGTATTCCACTAATAGGTGAATAAAGACAACAATTATACAAGATTCTTCAATTCGAGAGGAAGAGAACTCTCCAAAATCTCTAGCCAAGAAAACTAGAGCCCAAGCCTCCAAAAAGATCCCAAAAATCAGCCCAAATTCAAGATGAAACCCTAAATCCCCCTTACCCCTAATTAACTCCAAAGCCCCCATACAAATCCCTAAACAGATCTTCTATTCAAATTGCCCCACTTCCATTCAAAATTTCCCTCCAACACTTGAATTAAACCCAAGCATGGGCCCATAAGCCCCCCCCCCCACCCACGTGGGGCCTGCCTGGAGTAAGTAAGGACTAGTCCAGCCGGCCCAGGCGGGGTCGACCTAACAGAAAGCCACGGGGAAGCTTTCATGAGAGGTCCTCTAGCTGAAGTGCTTCATTCTTCTTCTATATCTACTTCTTTACCGACAAGTGTCTTGAGAAAGCCTAATATATCTCTGTTTGAAACTAGCAGCATTAACAACAAGAGAACTAGGTTCATGGCTTCTTTTTTTTTTGTTCATGTGAGGGAGAGGTTTAATATATTTCTTTGTTATCAGAGCTTTGCTAGGATTGTAGGGAGTTGTTTGTATTTTTGTGTTTTAATATGTGCCATTATGTGCCTTAAACTCCATGGATCGAACTTCCTACGTTAGCTTACAAGTATCTGGACTCATCATTCCTACTTTGTAGAGCATCTAAAATAAGTTTCATCAAAAAAGATTTTATTTCACCGAAAGTATATCTTACTAGACCTTCCAAGTAGTTTGTTTGCATCAACATCATTTTGGCGCAATCAAAATTTAACCTTAGTTGTATGGTCAAGAGTCATGTACGTCACGTTACTTGGGCACGGGCATGGGCGTGAAAAGTCTTCATTCCTTTGGAAATTGGAATCGTCAAGAATCTGTCTCGTTGATTTGCCCTGTTTGTGATTGAGATTATTTCAATGAAGACACCTACTGTATAATTACTACGATTCTCAAGTTGATATAAATAGGCTTTATTTCTTCCTAAAATGCTCTAGGTGAATCCATTCTAACCTTCTACTAAACTGTCAAAACGATTTGATGCAAAGCCCCCAACGGCTTTAGATTCCTACAAAGAAACTACTTTTTTCATGAGAAAATAATTATAATGCATAAGCTCAATTTCAGATATGCTAAAATTTTACCTCAAATTATAAATTTTGGTCTAAATTTGATCATTTTTTTTACTATGATCTGAGTCAAATTAAAACAAAATTGACTATGCCTAGTAGATTAACCATTACAAGATGAACAGCTTTGTCTACCAAGTAGTAGCATACAAAAATTGATTTTATACTAGCATACCACTCTAAATATATTAACCAACATAACATGCTAGTATTAGCAAAAACATTAAGTTCATTGTAGTCATACTGTATATATTTAATAGTCCAAACTTCCCAAACAAAAATAAGTTTCAATGATCAAAGTTTTGCATATGATTGTTTTTCTCTGTACATGGATTAATAAAAAATGCCTACAAACTTCCGAAGCAATCTCACCTAGAATTCCACTGGGGCGTCTGATTTTCAAGAAGAAAAGGTTCCTCCATCTATAGGGAGTTCTTGACAGTTCTCAGAAAGAATGTTGTCAATTAAAACCTCACATCCATCTTCCAATAGATCCAAAACCTGCAATTAAAGATGCTAGAACTTAAAAGCTGAGCACAATTAAAAGGGAAAATTACACACCTTACATCAATGATAACCAAGAGAGTAATCTCATAAATACAATAACAACATTAAACATTTATCCCACTATGTGGGGTCGGCTACATGATTCCTTTTTCTCCACCGTGTCCTATTAAGAGTCAAATTCTCATTTAAATTTAATAAAGAAATGTCATTTTTAATATTTTCTAACCAAACCTTTTTAGGTCTACCTTTACCTCTACCTTTCTTAATATAAGTCAAATCTAATATATCTACTCTCCTAATTTGATCATTTAAAGACTGTCATTTTATGTGGCCAAACCATCTAAGGCGACACTCTCTATAATATTATTTGCCACTGGAGCTCCTCCAACCTTTTCACGTATATGCTCGTTTCATATCCTGTCTCCAAAAGTAAAGCCACTCATCCACCTAAGCATTCTTATATCTACAACGCATAAATTAATATCAAGGTTGTGAAAACCGAATTGAACATCAAACCAAAAGAATAAGTTCAAAATTCAATGGTTCGACCGGGATTAAATCGGATGATGTAATAAATATTAATAATATTTAAATAAGGTCTAAATGGTATAATAATATTGTAATAATTATATAACCATATAATTTTGTGACTAAAAAATTAAGAGAATTCATGCATAATATTTTTTTATAATTTTAAATTTAAATAGTTTTCCTTTTTTAAATTTGATTTTTATTCTAAATTTAATTTACATATAAGCATATAAATTAATATAAATTATTACTAATTTATGTTACATAGTTAGATATAAATTATACATATAAATAATATAACAAATTCATATTATAAATTTATATATATAAATTATTTGTGTATAATTAAATATGTAAAAATTAATTATTTATAATATATAATTAATTATATAAAAAATAAATGTTATACATTTT